CTATTCTATTCTATTCTATTCTATTCTATTCTATTCTATTCTATTCTGAACCTCTAACAATTTGATGGTAATGTAAAGTGCCTGGAAGATAGAAGATGAAGTAATTTACAAATTCCAAGATACCAAAAGGAACAAAATAGCAGAACTGGAAGTGACTGGGGCAAGAAAGGTCAAAAAATGAGGCAAATTCACTTGTCTTCACTTGGCAAGTTGGTAGTTGGAAAGGACCTTTTAGATCATCTAGTCCAACCCCACCCACCCCCACACCAAAGCAGGAGACCCTATACCATTTCTGAGAGATGGCAGTCCAGTCTCTTCTTGGAAGCTTCCAGTGATGAAGCTCTCACAACTTCTGAAGGCAACTTCTGTTCCATGGGTTGATTGTCCTCGCTGTCAGAAAATTTACCTGCATATTCAGAAAAAAATGTTGAAAAGAGCATCTCTGGCCTTGCAACTATATGCACATGAAAGCATTCGTGCAGGCAGGAAACTTTTGCTTTTTTACTTTCATCTGCAAAAGATTGGAATATTATTTATGTACACAGCAGTTGGTCTCCCATTATAAACCCCCTGCAGATTGCCCATATCTATGCTTTTGTCTGCCTGTTTCTTCCATCTAGTTCCAAAACCCCCAAAGGAAACAGAAACGATCACACAACAAACTTCATCTGTCCAAGGTTTTGTTTTGTTTTTTGACTTGGCTCTTTAAATTGAGTTTGGCCATGCTTATTGGGGAGGGGATGAATGAAAATGAGGAGCGATTTCTTCCTTTACTTTTCAATAAGTTCCATTGAGTTTCACGAGGCTTACTTAGACCTCAAGATCACAATCTTCAGAGTAAGAGGATAAAAACGAAGGTTCTGCGGAGCTAAGCAGGAAATTGCACATCAATGGACTCACAGATATAAGTGAGACAGTTATAGACAGACAAAACAATTAATCAGTGAAACAACTTTCCTCCAGTTGTGAATGCTCCAACACTGGAAGTTTTTAAGAAGTGATTG